TACATTTGAAGTAATTTTCCTCTTGCTGTGAAATAGACTTGCATGGTAATGAAATGTAGAGATTTTTTGAGCCAGTATCACCTCAGAAAGTAAAAGAAAATAGAAAAACAAGTAGCAAGAGAGGTGACAACGGACAACAGCTCAATTAGCCTGCCCTTCGGTGGATCCCCGCTCAGATCTTAATCTGGTTTTAGCTCATCTAGTGCCATTACAGAGAGAACATATCTGAAGCATATCAGACTGGTCCCACCCATAAGGGCAGTCCAGATCCGAAATGCCAGCAAGTTCCCTCTGCACAAGAGATACAGTAACCCCAGACGATCGTTTCAAAACCAACTTGAGATCTGAGCGGGGACCCACCAAAGGGCAGGCTAATTGAGCTGTTGAGAAAGATATGTAGCAAGAAACTAAGATTTCTAACTCTTATTCCTAATTTACTACTATATAGGATAGGTAGGTGCATTATTTTATTATTTTAGGTGGGTGGTCAAGTGATTAGGGATGTAAAGCCACATGGGGGGGGGGCTTCTATTATTTGATGAGGTGGACAATGGCATGTCCTACTCTTTATTTTATAATTAATTAGGGCCCCCACCCTCCTGCATAGGTGGGGGCCATGTGAGGGGATACTAGGTGTCACCTTACTATGAATATTATGGGTGGGGGCCAAGGAAGGGCACACTAGCCCTCCTTTATTATAAGTGTTAGGTCCCCATTTACCAGAATAAATAGGGGCCACAGAAGGAATCAATAGTTCCCCCTTAAAATTTTAAGTAGCCCCCACCCAATGCCATATGGCAGATGGGGCATATGGAGGTCCATTTCTTAAAGCAATATATAAATCTAACTGACCCCATAAGGATTTTTATTTTTTTAATGTGACACCTGGCTAACAAGTGCTGGCCAACCACCACTTGATTATCCCTCCCATTGACAAAGGTTTTTAACTTTTTGTCTGCTGACTGCAAGTGCTGCCAGCGAGCAAATAGTATGACAAATTATCAGTTCTCTCGCAAAAAGCATGCGAATGATAATTTGCGAATGTGCATCCTAATGGATTATAGAGATTTTCTAAAATAATCTGAACAAATGTTACAGAATCAGTCAGAATGACCAAATCCTGACTGAATTCTAGTAAATATGAGAATGGCCAATGTGGTCAGAATTTGGTTTTTTGGTTGGAAAAAAACTCTGTGTTTATTGAATAGCCCTGTATATGTAGAGCAAAAAAACGGGGCGCAAAATATACTGAGAATGGACAGATGGCATAAGATGAGCTAAAACCAGCTTGAGATCTGTGCGGGGACCCACCAAAGGGCAGTCTATTTCAGATGCTGTCCATTCTCAGTACACTTTTGTGCCTTGTTTTTTGATCTCCATAAATTTAAAGGGTAATCCAGACGTGAACCCCTTGTTCACGGTGCCTAGAGAGATATCAGCTATGCCTCACTGATGATGCCTAACAAGGTTGAAATGATCGTCTGGGGTTGCTGTGTCTCTCGTTCAGAGAGAACTTACTGGCATTTCGGATATGGACTGCCTGTATGGGTGGGACCAGTATGATATGCTTCAGATATGTTCACTCTGTAATGGCACAAGATGAGCTAAAATCAGCTTGTAGTGATGTCCTGAACAGTTCGCCGAACGGTTTGCCGCGGACTCATCATTGAGTAAACTTTTACCCTATACCTCACAGTCAGCAGACACATTCCAGCCAATCAGCAGCAGACCCTCCCTCCCAGACCCTCCCACCTCGTGGACAGCATCCATTGTGACGCTGCATTCTTAGTGAGCTGTCCAGGAGGTGGGAGGGTCTGGGAGGGAGGGTCTGCTGCTGATTGGCTGGAATGTGTGTGCTGACTGTGAGGTACAGGGTCAAAGTTTACTCAATGATGAGTCCGTGGCGAACCGTTCGTGGTGAACCGTTCGTGGCGAACCGTTCGGCAAACAGTTCGGGACATCACTATCAGCTTGAGATCTGAGCGGGGACCCACCAAAGGGCAGGCTATTTCAGATGCTGTCTGTTCTCAGTACACTCTTGCACCTTGTTTTTAGCTCTGTATATGTATTTGATGATGGCACAGTCTATGTAATTTCCCTGCATTTAATTGGGATTTTATGGAATACATAAGACATACCAAAAAACTGCTGCAAGGTTTGTGGTAAGAATGAGAACAACACCCCAAATTCATGAGGCAAGGATTGGAAAGGTTTGTCATTACCTGCTCTTCCTCCTCTATGCTTGTCGCAGGAAAGGCTAATTTCTCAACTATAGAGCAGGTTCCATGTCCCTTTGTGTCATTCTTGTGTAATAAACAATGACCTCTTCTTGAAGGTCGCAGGATTTATGCTATTAGCAAGGATAGAACTGGGTGAAAGAAATTGAAGGATGTAATTGGAACTGTTGTGGACAAAATATTATCCCAATTCATATTAATAAAATGCCTATTTACTTAGCATAACCACAATCAGCATTATTCAACCTTATATGTGATTTACCTAAAATGGCCGCTAGGGAGTTTCCCTTTGACATCGACTAACACCCTCATTAACAAGATGGCGCTGGAATCTGGGGGAGACCTCCACGATACCAGTGACATCACACCCGGTAGGAAGAGCACTAAATGAACCACTTAACACCTAACCAATTATTCATGTATTATTCCATTTTATCTCTGACAATGCATATGATGTAATTTTGCTTTATAAGGAGCATGCTGTCCCCTCAGAATAAACATTCCTCAAGTCTTTCATTAACCCGAAACCTGTGTCTGGTGTGAATTACTTCAGGAGCGTGCACACATCTTTTTTTAAATTTGGCCTCGGCCAGATATGCAAGATAATCAATTAATTGATTGATTCCACATCATTTGGCGCCCATCGTGGGGCACTGGGTTTCGCCGGTTCGGCCGGCCGGAAATAGGGACCGGAACGGAGCTCCGTAAAGTGGGACAACCGGAGCCTGATCACCTCCTAAATACAGTGGTTTGCCTGTATTCTCCTGTTTTGTGTCGGTCTGTCTCCGTGTCCATTTCTGGCTTCCAGAAGGCTACAAGACAAGTAATCTCTTATCCGGTGCCTTTTAAAACAAACCTGTCGATTGTCTATCTGCCTCCTGAGTGTGTGTGTACGTGTGAGACAGCTGGTGTGTGGTTTATGTTTTATTATTATAGCTTGACTGCCTAGCGGGCAGGGTATGCATCCACCCGGGGAAGGGCTGGGGAATTTATTATAGCATGACTGCCTAGCAGGCAGGGTATGCATCTGCCCGGTGAAGGGCTGGGAATTTATTATAGCTTGACTGCCTAGCGGGCAGGGTACGCATTCACCCGGTGAAGGGCTGTGAATTTATTATAGCTTGACTGCCTAGCGGGCAGGGTACGCATCCGCCCGGTGATGGGCTGTGCATTTATTATAGCTTGAATGCCTAGCGGGCAGGGCACGCATCAGCCCGGTGAAGGGCTGGGAATTTATTATAGCTTGACTGTCTAGTGGGCAGGGAACGCATCAGCCCGGTGAAGGGCTGGGAAGTGCCTAGAGAAAGGCTGGGAATTTTGTCGTACTGTTCAGAGCAGAACAGGGTTTTATTTACTGTTTAGTTGTTACAATGCTCATTGTTATATTTTTCTTTATTATATTTTGTTTTTTATTCAATTGTGGCCATTGTGTGGGTACCCTTGCTGTGTGTGTTGTGTGGCTCATCCTTGATTCCGGATTACGTGCACATCTCTACATCTGTGACTCTTGCAAATGTCTTCTGATTAGTCTCTCCATGTTCACCTTTTCCTTCATTCTGTACCTCTTCTGTACTTTTTACCCAGAGCTGTGTTAGTCACCCATGCTCGCCTGCACAGATCCGTGGCCTCCATCTCGGGTGGGCGGTTCCCATGACTAGTCTACGTTTAGGGAAGACACACGAAGATCAATTCCTCGTGGCAGTCGAGCACTGTAGACATTCCTTCTTTTTTCTCTCTCTCTGTCCCTCTTACGTGGGAAGCCTTGTTTGGTAAAAATGGGACAAGAACACGCCAGACCTTCCAAAGGCTACTTAGCTTGTGACGTAGTTAAGGAGAGAGCAGGAGAAGAGGCTATGTTAAAAATAAAGAAACACAAAGAAAAACTTAAGGCCTTACTGATGTTTCCACCTATTAGGTCCTCAGTTTTTAAAGAGTGCAGCGCTATATTATAATGTGAGGTGAAAATGTGTTTTTTAATAATTCAAAAAACACTTACCCTCTACAATGATCTCAGGATGGTATATACATAAAAAGAAACAAAAATACAAATATACAGGAATGTATTTGTGTATGTTGAAATAAAGAGCATTCGAATGCTAATGGCCGAAAGCCGCTAGCATTCCTATGGTAGTTTCACGAACAGTGACTTTAAACACTGTTCGTGAAACGAATAAGGTACCGAACGGGAGCCCACATGCATAGGGTCGTGTGGCGCCCATGAACTGATTGCAACATTGTTGCAATCGGTAGTTAATTGCCTTCCTAGGTGGCTGTCATTCGGCTACCGACCACGCGGCGGTAGGCCATCTTGGATCCTTTGTTAGCCCAGCGGTGTTTGGTCGTCGAGCGCCTGGTACTAAAATCGGCTACTCAACGGCGCGAACACCGCTGGACTTCCAGGCTCTTCGGGAGCCCCGGTCTTTCGGTATTTGGGTTCCCAATAGGTATTCGGTACTTTTAGGGGAATTTGATATAAAAGTATGTTTCGTGCGACGTTAGGTCATTTATGCTGGGATCTGAGTGGTACTTTCACGAAGTGTGTGCTCAGACCCCAGCTATCTACCGAATGGTCATTTATTACAATCCCACGAATAATGTTAAAGTTATACATTTTATGTTAAAACCCGGTTCTGCTGTTCGGAGGGATAATCCACTTAACAGGATTTTCTAGTGGGAGTGTCCCTCACGTTCAGCAGTACATGGTGGTAGGAATGCTCTGTATATTCAGTTCCCCATGTAGTCCTCTACTGTAATACCCCTGTAAAGTGACTAAGGAAACCCCTTGCATGGGGAATTACATAAATACTGGAGCTGTGAATAAAGTTGTCAGTTGACTCCCAGAACTGTGTTTCGTCCGGTTACTGGGGGATTTGGGATATTGCCTTCTTTTCCAGCGCTTTACTTTGGATTACTTTTGTACCAGCGGAGATCTTGGGATTTAATATTGCAGCTCCGCTACACCCCTAATTCACAAGATGCCGCCAGCTACCACGAACTCCCGTTCCCGATTCCCGCCGAGGATGACAACGTGCAGGGGCTCAGCCCATTCCGCCCTGCGAGTCATAGGGTTTCCCAGAGACAGGCAACCCCGGCCAATCACATCCACACCTTATCAACTGTGGAAGGGGCTCCCCCAATGTATGTTACTTTCAACCCATCACAAGCTGCAACCCTAGTAACCTCTCTCCCTGACCCTGAGAAACACCCCATGCCCTTCTTTCGGAGGGTTGCCCAGATTCGCAAGACATACTCAGCTGCCTGGTGCGATCTGTTTAGTCTGTGTGAGATCAAAGCTGGGGATGCCTATTGGCCCATTTTGGAAAGGAGTTTTAATGACGCTCTCCTCACTACTGATATGGATTTTGTGAACAGCTTCGGGCCTGGGCCCTGGATAAACTAGCTGACCAAGCCACTTGTATAAATGATATTATACAAGATAAACTTGAGTCTGTGGAGAAGTACCATTCACAATTGACTCAAACTTTCTCTGATCTAGGATTCAGTGTATACAATAAGGCACATACCCAAATGTTATGAGCGGCCTTTGTTGCGGGCCTTAAGGAAGCCATCAGGAAAGGATTAGTGCTTTCCCACCCTGAATATAGGATTATTTCTCCAGACACTCTCCTTTTGTTTGCTAAAGGCCTAGAATCTGCACACCATGTCAGTGTCTACAGGGGACAAAAGGGGGCCTCTCGCTAAAGTAGTCCTGCCTGTAGAGGGTCATCCTACAACCTTTTTAGTTGACAAAGGTGCAGCCCGCAGTGTTCTCAGAGAACAAGACCTGCCTGACTCATCTTACCTATCCGACACAGATGTCTCTTGTTTAGGTGTCGATGGTACCCCTAGGTACAACACTCTTGTGGGTGGGTTCAGACATTCTCTCATGGTTTGTTGTCTCTTCTACTTGTCCAATTAACCTATTAGGTGCTGATGTTCTGTCCCGTCTTCAAGCTTCTATCTCCTTCACCACTGATGGCCAGGTTCAATTATTAACCCCCCTTTCTCGCAAAGATACTTCTGTTCTTTGCTCTTTGCCCCTACTGTTACACATGACTTCCCCCTCCGAGGAGGTAAGGGTCCCAGATGCCCCCAGTGCCCTGGATAGGGTCCCAACCAAACTTTGGTCTACAGGCCCAGATGACATTGGACGCCTAAGAGTCCCACCCGTGGTTGTCACGCTACTAAAGGGAGCTAATCCACCACGAAGACCACAGTACCCATTAAAGCCTGCACAAGCCCTTGCCAAGTTGAAAGTCTGTTAGCAAAAGGTGCTCTGGCAAAGTGTGTGTCAGAGTGTAACACCCCTCTATTTCTGTGAAGAAAAAGACTGAAAAAGGCAAACCTGACCAATACCGTATGGTTCAAGACCTCCGCGCTGTTAATGATGTCACCAACTGAGACACTGCTGTTGTCACAAGTCCCTCCAACAGCTAAATTCTTCACTGTGGTTGATCTTGCAAACGCCTTTTTCAGCGTGCCCTTGGATCCCTCTTGCCAATATCTGTTTGCTTTCACACATGATCGCCAACAGTACACTTGGACTGTCATGCCTCAAGGTGCACAAAATTCCCCTACTCAATTCATCAAAGCTATGTCAACTGTCTTAGAACCTTGGC